CAAATAACTATGTTGTTGAGGTAGTGAAAGATTATGAATATTTAGATGTATATCTATTATATTTTCTGCTTCAGGTTTAGTCTGATTTTATTGACCTGTGCATTATGAATACATTATAGCACTGCTTTTATTGACGTGTGCATTATGAATACATTATAGCACTGATTTTATTGACCTGTGCATTATGAATACATTATAGCACTGATTTTATTGACCTGTGCATTATGAATACATTATAGCACTCGTTTAAATATTCGATCCAGCTTCGGCTATTTCCGCATAGTTTACGATAATTAATATGGAATATATAACTTATGTTTTGAAACGTCACACTAGCACAAGGTGAAGGTCCTCGTCACATCCAAAATACACAGTCGGTTAAGTAATTGCCTTATATATGAGATGTCTGTGGTTCGATCCCTTCAGTTGCCATTGTTTTAGACCTTTTCTTTATTTTTAGAAGTATATTTAAATGAAAGCGGCCAAGTGCTTGCAAAATTGTCTACACGGATATGAAACAACTTAGAAACGCTGATTTTGTCTCGTTTCGTATTGTATTTGTCGTGTAATTTTGGTCAAAATTTCTAATGATATAGAAAACATTGGACGTGGTTTAAGGCGTTGACGTGTTTCAGGCTTTATTCTCAAATTTGATGGATGAGAAAGAAAAAATCGCATTTGTAAAATGTGTAACCAAAATGCTATAGAAACCGAAGTCATTATGTCACATTGTGATTGACAGCTAACTTCCTACCCACCGACCGACCTATTTATTTTTATTTAAATCTATTGAGAATATTTAAGTTTTTTTTTTCTTTAAATACAGGATTTATTTTCATCATACCACAAGATGAAAATAAATCCTGTCTTTATAGAAAAAAAAACACTTTAATTTTCTGTTTATTATATACACTTTTCTTTTGATATTACAATTTGAAAGAGTTCCACTTAAATGTTTGTGTATTGGTTGAATTTAGAGAAAAAGGAGTCCGGCAAGACACCGGTGAATATACGGAAAATATGTTTCACTGCAGTGAAAAATAATTTCTACAGTGAAAATAAGGAAACGAAAAAACACATTTTATTTTATCAATATTTTTCCATATTTCATTTAGATCTATAAGTATATCGATCTACATAATAAATTTATAGAGGATATATATAAGATTGAAATATATTTCACTCTAAGTGAACACCCGATGCAATATTTTCACGAGTGGCTACGCCACTCGTGAAAATAGAATATCTGTTGTTTACGAATGAAATATATTTTAATCGTATATATTAAACAAATAGATTTTCTTTTTAATTCATTCTTTTTTTTTAAAGTGAGTTCAAGTATTTTTTTACTGATTTTGCCGCGTAACAAGTTTCAAGTTTCAAGTTTTTATTGATATCTCAAGGCCCAACTGGGCATGTGAGAAAACAACAATATAACAAATGTTTACAAAACAAAGTAAAGTGATACATAATTGAAATGGCAATGTTATGAACATAATTATGTACATAAAAAAGAGAACAAAATAGAATAAAAAAATAGAATAAAAATATAACATATTTATACTTAACAATTTAGAATCGGAGAATGAGATCAAAATGAAGAAAAAAATATATCAATATGTATTATTAAGCACAAAGATTATTTTCTTACAGAATATTGCTAGATTGAATAAAACATTTTTGCTTTCACTATTCATTAAATTTGAAAATTAATAATGTTAGGTCTATGAAAAAATGAATTGTCTAAATATGTCTTTCTCATGTGTTGAAAATAGGAACAGTGAAATAAATAATGAAATTCATCACCTAACAAATTATCAGAACATAAACAGCACACTCTTAGACTTCTATCCAAATTAAAAAATCTACCTGTTTCAATTGGCATTTTGTGGTTCATACATCTAAATTTGAAAAACGCTATTGCTAAATCTGATGGTAAAATGTTAAAGTATTTTTGAAAACCAAATTGAGTTTTAAAAATTCTATAATTCAGACATTTACTGGATTCATGAATAGAAGATTGCCAATCTTGAATAAACTGATCCTTAATTCTAGCAGAAATAATTTTCTTAAAATGTGGGACAGAACTAACTGTTTGAAAAATCCAATAACTTGACAGACCGAGAGAATCTAAAGAAGTATGCACAAATTTCAACCAAGGAAAATCAACATCAAAATCAGAGTAAAGTATCTTTGACATGCAATACAGCATAGAACAAATTTTATCTTTTTTATCATTAATCAGTTTGCCCTAATAGTTCAGAACTCTTGACTTAATTTGCAAAGACAAAGGCAATATTCCTAGCTCGCCATAAATCATACATGATGGGGTAGATTGCTTCAGTCCGAAAACTAATTTAATAAATTTCAATTGGAAACGATCAATTATTTCTACATTTTCTACTCCCCAGACCTCTGATTCATATAAAATAATAGGAGCCAACATTGCATCAAATAAACTCAATTGTATATCAAATGGTAAGGCAAGTTTCCGAGACTTTGTTAACACAGAACACATAGCTTTTCGAGCTTGATCAATCAGTTTTTTCTAGTGCCTAAACAAATTTCCGTTAAATGAAAACTGAACCCCAAGATAATCAAAACAATCTACAATCTCAAGTATGTTACCCTCAAATTCTAGAGGATTAATATTATTCCACCCCCTTTTACTTTTACAGAACACAACAATTTTTGCTTTGGCAGTGTTTACCTTTAAACCCCAAGTATTACAGTAATCAGACATTGCATTTAATGCTTTTTGTAACTCATTAGGACTTTCAGCTAAAATAACTGTATCGTCAGCATAGAGCAACATAAACAATTTAAGATAAACTTCAAAATCATCTGTGCTTAAAGTGTTACTAACACTGTTAGACAGGAAATTTAAACCTTCAAATCTTTGAGACAGGAACGAGTTCAAGTCATTTAAAAACAAAGAGAATAAAACTGGGGATAAGTTTTCTCCTTGTCGGACGCCAGCCAGACTTGAGAAAAAGTCAGAAAATTGGTCACTGACTCTAACACAGGACTTAATATTTTCATACATATTGTGTATTATCTTAAAACATTTACCATCTATATTTGAACTTAATAACTTGTTCCATAAAGCAAGTCTATTTACAGAATCAAAGGCTTTTCTATAATCAATAAAAGCACAAAATAGTTTTCTTTTGTTAGCCAAGTACAAATCTATTAAACATTTAAGTGAAAAAATATGATCAACTGTACTGTATTTCTTTCTAAACCCGGCTTGCTCTTCACAAAGAATATTATCAGATTCTAAAAATTTATTCAACCGACTATTCACAACAGATGTAAATAATTTACCAAAACAGCTCAAAATTGTTATTCCCCTGTAATTGTCAGGATCATTAATATCACCTTTATTCTTGTATAAAGGAAGAATTACCCCTTTACTCCAAATTTCAGGGAAGAAACCTGAATCAAAAATAATATTAAATAGTTTGCAAACAACTGGTAACATTGAACAGGACAAATTCTTAAGATATTCATTTAAGATATTATCCATTGGTGATGCAGATTTGTTGTTCTTTAAAGCCTTTAAAACTGACTGAATTTCATTTACTGTAAATGGTAAATTTAATTCCTCATTATAGCTGCTTATCTTATCAATGTCTACCTCGTTAAAATTTTCTTCATTATGAAAGTCTACATTATTTAGATCCTTAAAATGATCATAAAAAACCTCGCATGAAATTTTATTTATCACAGTTTTTCTTTCACTGGAGTACTTATTAAGAAGATTCCAGTAAGATTTGGGATCACTGTTTTTAAGACCTTTAATTTTGTTTACAATGCAGGTATTAAACTCTTTAAATGTTTTGTTAATTTCCGTCTTATAATGTTTGCTTCTCCTCTGCATATCTTCAAAATTTTCTAAAGATCTGTTTACTCTATACTTATTTTTTGCTAAAAAATAACCATTCCTAGCATTTCTACAACACTGATCAAACCAAGGCTTGTCTGAACATGCTGGCTTCTTAACCTTACTTTTTTTATCTTTTAAAGGATAACTATTCTTGATCAAATTACAGTTTTGAGCTGCAGAAAAAATCACATCTGAAACTTTTTCTGTAAGATGATTTATTTTACGCTGATCAAAAACATTCAATTGATTACAGTCATCTAGTTCTTTCATAAGATCTGATACTACTAGATTGTCATCAAATTTACTAATAAAATCTGCTCTGGCCTCATTGTCCCACAATGCTTTGTGGATTACACTATCAGATTGATAACCATCATTACCCTTGTTTTCATCATCATCCTCTGCCTGAACCTCACAAGAATAACAAAGTTCTAAAACACAGTGACAATAAAGGATCAAATTCTTTAACATCAAAGAAGGTTATTCTTGGAAATAAATTACCAGATAACGTCGCGCATTCTACTTTAAGACGTCATCACATCATGACGTCACATCATCAATTTTGAAATATTGTTCAGATAAATTTCTCTAATTTGAACGTTACATTTTTAACATGATATATGATCAAATCTTTTCTGAAAGAAGCAAAATTTAGTTTGACGTCATTAAATTTATTATTGCCTGTAATTCCATTTAGTTATGATATTCTTTTCATCCGCATTCAGATTTAGTCCGGCTACAGTGAAAATTATATTTTACAAATTTCACTAGATGTTTATCAGACTATAATCACAGTAGAACACTGGAAAGCATGAAATAAATTCATTTCTTTGTTTTCTATTCATTTATTCGTTAATTTTCATTTGAATAAATATTTTTATTCTTATTGACTAATAATTATTGTATCAAAAAAGAACAAAAAGACAAATTAAGGTTAATTTCCCTCTGACATTCACAAGTTATAATAATTTTACCAAAGGTGAAGGAAATGGAAAAATTAGGGTCGAATTGACTTGGGAACAGTTTGATATAATCTAATTTCGGAATACCCATGCTGGTTCCCAGCATTTGCGCATGCGCGAAAATTTATAAAGAAAATCGGAAACCAATCTGCCAAAACCGATTTAGATGGGGGGTCAAATGTCAAACACTATCAAATTTCACAGTGTTTCTTATAAAAAAGAGTTAGTGATGTGGCAGTAAGAGAGAGAGAAGAGAAACGACATTCTCTATCATTAATAACGCTATTGATTTATTTTACATTGCGATTTTGAAGGAATTATTCAGTAGAATCTACACACTGTTAAATTCACAAAAGATGGCTAGAATTCTTTTGCATCTGTTGATGCTGATTTCTACAACGATTCCAAGTTTTTGTTTTGAAAAGGATAACAAAGGTAAATATATTCCACATTTACTTGACGAACATCTAGAGTTACAATATGTAAAGTATTATTATTTTATAAATTTATGACATTTGATTTGCATTATTCAGTCTATGCGAAAGACTTCTGAGTTTTATTGGACAGTTATAGGTCCTGTAAACTGAAACTTTTTACTGGACCAAACATGATTTTACTGGACCGAAAAAAAACCCTGATAAGTATAGCATTTTGAGTCACTTGATAAGTGTCAGCAGTCAAAACATTTTGTGTACAAAAAGAAAATTATATTATCAACGAAGTGAAGTTATCTTTTTTCACCACAATCAAAATGTAAACATAAATATTGTTATACATGTATTCAATGGATTTTGCTATTTAAACTTTAATTCCATACAGACTATATACTAGCAAAATGAGAGGGTAAGTCTGGCATATGTAAACAGAGTTATATTATATATCGGTAATTTAGTGAAGTTGACAGATTAATTGTTCAATGATTTTGGCACCTTCACAGTATAGTTTAATTTTTGTCAACATCTTGGACGATCTTTCATATCCTAATTCGCTGCTTAACACCAGTTGAGCACACGTGTAATTTAGCATTACTCTATGTCTGTGGATTAAAGACGTAAATTGTTCCAATTAATACTCTGACACTTTTTTCTGTGTAAACAAACTAATAGCGGGTAACCTTTCACATCTGGGCCGCTTATGTAATTTACGCGGCCGCTTATTGACTCTTTATTGTACTAGTTGTCGGATGCTTTTATCTTACGTTGTTACATAATAGTTTGCATTATGAGAATGGATAACAGTTGACAAGCATTGCACGAGCTTATATGATGTAATGACAACATTTTGATATGTTTTGAATTTAGGTAAATTATCGGTCTTTGCAAAATGTTGAATGTAAGGTTTTTATAAAACCTTAATTTTTTACCGGACCGTCGGGCCTTCAATACATATATTTTTATCGGACCTTCTGATTTTTTACCGGTCAGGGCCGACGGTCTGACGGTCTTTCGGAAAGACTGATTATTGAGTTTGGGAAAATACTGTAGATTCTCTTCTGTAGTCACTGCCATAGACAGACTAAATAGAACAGTGTACAAAGTTGATGCTACGTGACAACTAACATGTATATGTCAAATGAATGTACATTCATACTAATATACAAACTATATATTAGTATATTGTGTAATGGGAATGGACTTAGAATTCATTTCTGACTTAGGATAAATGTTTTCTATCACAAAGATAATAATGAGACCAAAGATCAAATAAAGACGTTAAAGAAACTAAAACTTCAGTTGTATTATAGTAACAACAATGAACTTAAAAGAATATAAAAACAAAACAAACACAATGGCGCCGACAATGTGTCAGTTTAAATATACAGAGGGAGGAAATAAGAATTAATGGAGTGAATTAGAGTGGGTGGACCAACGCTCGGGGTAAAAATACTATATCTGATATTAGCGAATTCAAATCAACGTCAACAAACCTCAATGTTATATGTCCATTTTCAAGACCGATGATATTGTTTTAAATAGCCATTGTGTAAAATTCGCTAATCACATAATGATGTGCATGGCTGGAACTTATATATAATAGATAGTCCGGATAAACAAGAGTGGTTGCGTGAAATTGTACCATAGCTCGGCGTACAATACAACATGATGCAGGATTGTTTTTCGAATGAAATCTCTTTTTTATCTTATGAAGAAAACACATTGAATAAATTGTAACAACCAAATTAGGTTCATACATTTACAAGTACCCAACCTTTAATTTAAATTTTACAGCGCCAGAACTCTAGTGTTAAAAGATTTTAATAATTTATATGTTGCGGATTACATACGGTTGTTTGTCTGCTATTAGCATATTCAAGTGACTTTACCAGCAGTGAACCACACCAGGATAAAATGGTGAAAGACGTAAATAAAAGCACCTGGGTGACCTAAATCGGAGATAACTTGGGACATTTTTAGATATTCTAAAAAAAATATTTTTTACGCCGAGAATTGGTATGTGCCGAGCATTGGTCCAACCACTCTAATTGATGTGAAGTATAGGCTAATAATAGCATGCTTCGGGCCTTCTTTGTTTATATTTACAGAAATCTCCTATAGTGATGAAATTATTTTTGAGCATAATATATGACATCAACAGAAAGAAATTAAATATTTGTTTACTAGCACCTTTGTGAGAATTATTTCTCCCTTTTCATGTTTTCATATATTTTTGAAACACATAATTTTTGAAGTCTTAAAAAATAAGCTACATATATATGCAAAGAACTAAACAAAAAATTAGTAAAATAACTTCTTTATGTTCTTAAATTCATTGCGTCAACACCTGTCAGCATACAATTTATCAGTTTTCAGAGAAATCTTCAAATTAAAATCTGTTCAGTGATAAATTATTGTCAAAATATATAGTGTTTGAAATTAGCAGTAGTCCGCGAAAAAAATCTTGTGACAAATGAAGTATCTTACTTTATATTATGTTTTAATAAACAAAAGTTAAAGAAGCATATTAATTATTTTTATAGGTATATGATTTTTATGTGATAAGCCTGATCGGGCATTTTAACCAGTTAAATTATCCTCCAGGTACAGTAGTATACTGGCATGCAAGTATTTCCCATTAGGCATAAAAAAATAGTAGTTACTTAAAAACTATGATTTAATATGCTCATCAACAAAATTATTGATTGTTACACATCATTCTAACACTCACGTGATTTTGTCACTATAGACAAAGAAGGAAAAAAACTGGTGTTAAACTGCCAATAAACACCCGTTAGGGACTACTTGTATATGTGCTGTTATGTTTTCACCCTCGATTGTATAGTTTACAAAGCATTTTAAAGCAACAATTAAAAGCATTTTTATTTAAATTTTCAGTTTGTATAATGATTTCTTTTCATACAATACCGAAATAATATCTCACATACACTAACACCACATATTAGATCCATATCAGTTAATAAATATTTTGACAAAACGGCGCCAATCAGTAAGCAGCGTAATGACGTCATCGTAAGTAAACAACTCATTCATAAACACGCTGACGTTATTTCATACAGACAAGAATGATAAATGGGGCACTGATGTAAACACAATACGACGTAAGTTTTTAATGTTGAAAACTTGATAAAATAACGTGTTTTTTCTTATTATTTCTTTTGTCTAATAATTTCTCTATCTTCGCAACAGTAGGGTGCGAAAATCGAACAGCGTTATAGGAAAATCGGCACCGGAAGTTATTTCCGCTTGAAAAATAACATTAGTGATTTTCCTTATTTCATCGTGTTAGAATCGAAATAACATCGGCCTGAGAGGTGTATATCGGCTATTTAACACCGGTTTTGTCGTTTTGATGCGACAAAATTAACCACTCAGGCCTACGGCCTTCGTGGTCAATTCCTACGCATCAAAACTCCAAACCGGTGTTAAATACCCGATATACACCTCTCAGGCCGATGTTATTTCTTAAATATTTGGCTTGTCACACAAATTATGGAAGTCGAAATATGTTCTTAATATAGAAAAAACTTTAAGTAATGAGGCCTGATACGGGGTATTGAAATTACCCATTACTCTCTATGAAGGGAAGTGTAGTTTCCATAAATAAAATACAACACATATAATAATAATACAATGTTTTAATATCTGTCGTATTTTTCATTTAAAATCTATGAAGAAACCCGGGTGAGGGGACTGATGCCAGACCTTTCACTCCCAAGACTTTTTACTATTGTGAGGTTTTACTCCCAAGACGGTTCACTCCCAAGATGGTTCACTCCCAAGATGTTTCACTCCCAATTATTTTCATTCGTTTTTTCAAAGTTTTGTCTTCCTTCACTGTGTACAATATTTGATTAGTCAAGCGTGCTGTCTCCTCCGAAAACTCTTGTTAATTGTATTCATAGTTTGAGTGTATGAATTTGTTTTTCTTTTTTCAAGAACTGCTACTTGTGACCATAGCAACAGAAGAAAATGATGGGTTAAGAAGATATATAAGAAGTACAAAGAAGTATGACTTGGAAACAAAGGTAAATTCATTATAACATTCTATATTTATTATATAATACATGTATGTTACATAAGATAAATGTATATCAAGTAAAGTAAGAATAGTTTGATTGTTTATAATATATAAGTAATAATAAACTCATTGTTTCATGCTTTGTGCAGTATATCAGTATGTTACATAAGATAAATGTATATCAAGTAAAGTAAGAATAGTTTGATTGTTTCAGAATGTTTTTTAATATATAATATATCCACTCCAGAAACACACATATGTCATTCATGAAAACTTAAACAAACAATTGTATATGACTCAGTTACATTTGATGTAGGTTTTTTCCCTTTACATTCAATTTGACAAAACAACATTGTAATAAAGACTTTCTATTTTAAGTATAACTAACTATTGCTGGTATGCCATGAATTTTAAGTATTATGTACTGTTACATTAGCTATAGTACACTATACAGTGAAGATTTTGTACATGTCCAGTATGTTACATTTGCTATAGTACACTATACAGTAAAGATTGTGTACTGTTACATTAGCTATAGTACACTATACAGTGAAGATTTTGTACATGTCCAGTATGTTACATTAGCTATAGTACACTATACAGTGAATATTTTGTACATGTCCAGTATGTTACATTAGCTATACTACACTATACAGTGAAGATTTTGTACATGTCCAGTATGTTACATTAGCTATAGTACACTATACAGTGAAGATTTTGTACTGTTACATTAGCTATAGTACACTATACAGTGAAGATTTTGTACTGTTACATTAGCTATAGTACACTATATAGTGAAGATTTTGTACATGTCCAGTATGTTACATTAGCTATAGTACACTATACAGTGAAGATTTTGTACATGTCCAGTATAAAATAATCTAAAATTTAATTTGCCAAAGAATAACCAATATTTTATATTTTCCTGTTCTGTTACTGATTATATGAGCTAAGAAACCCCTTTAAACCCCTCCATATGTAAATATCTTTACAATCACACATAAATTTTAAGTTGTACCTTTAGGATTAAATAATATCGAGAATTTGTTTCCGAATAATAAAGTGTACCAGTCTATAGTTTATTATAAGTTGTATACAGTACGCTCAGCGCGGCTTTTTCAAAACCCGCGTGACCCCGTGGATGAGGTTTACCGCGGACGAAAATTTGCTCAGATATTGTCCGCGTGACCCCGTGGACAGAAAATTTTCACCACCGTGGACAAATATCGGCGGCTGAAACCGTTTCCCCCGCAGAACGCTGTGGTAAATTGCGGAGGAACGCGGCGGTCAAACACCGGTCAACGCGGTGGAAACCTTAAATTTTAAAAATTAATTACTGTATTTAAACATCAGTATACATACGTACATGTACTGTAACACAGTACATGTACAAATGCAGTCACTCTCCCTGTCGAGATTTAATTCATGAACTGATGAATTTTGATGAACATTCATAAACTGTTTGTGAACTTCATGAATTGTTCTTCAAAAGTTCATTAATGGAGTTCATCAATAAGTTCATGAACCTAACGTTCATGAACTGTTCTCCAACAATTCATCAACATAGTGTAACCAGAGAGTTCATGAACTCACTGATCATCAACAAGAGTTGGCTGACCTTAATTGGTAACACCCATAATGCAAAAGTCAACATGGCCGCCAGAAACAAAGCACTACATGTGTTTTAACAAACTTTCGGTGCAAACTTACTTAAAAATGGAATAAATAACAATGACTTAGCAAAATGAAGAAAAAGTGATGTATTTACATAATGGACTATATAAAATCTTATGGAAAATTGTGTCAAAGAAATAAATTGAAGAGGAAACTGGCAAGTTGTGAATTCTAATGACAATTCAATTTGTACATAGGGAATCAATGAGCACAGTGTTTAACAAGTTTCATTACCTGTGTAATGGGCTTTTGTGTTTTGTATTTGTACTAAAACACTGTCTATTGTGCATTTTATGGCTGGTACAAATCAGCAGTCTTAGAATTAAATGAAAATTGATTGTGATGTCACATTATTATGACCCCTGGGAGAAGTTTTTGAATTGTTCGTGAACATATTCATGAACAATTTCATGAATGTGCATTTGAACAAGTTCATGAATGTGCATGAACAACAAATGAGACTTTTTTTCTTTTGATATATTCATGAATGTTAACGAACATATATTCATGAACATGTTCATGAATATCTTGATTCATGAATTGTCCGTGAACGAAATAAAGTCTCATTTGTTGTTCATGCACATTCATGAACTTGTCCATGAATATGTTCATGAACAGTTCATGAATTATTCATGGAATTCTCGCAGGGGTGTTTTTCTTGTTCTTCTTCTTGTTATTGTGTTGGGTAATGTATAATATGTATTCGACATCAAGATAAATCATTGTCGTCGCAACTTCATGGTAGTGAGAAACTTGAAGTCAAATAATGAAAAATTCAGCATATGACATTTATGAAAAAGATACTACAACAATTTATATGCCAGCTTTTGTTTCTTATTTAAAAACTTTGAAAACGTAACCCTCAACAATTTTATTCAGGCAATATTCCAGGACGTCTCTTTCAATTGTCAGATGCGTTTTACTGTTTCTGTTTATTTGCATGTTGATCATAAAAAATATGACAATATACAATATCTGACAATATCTGACATGATGGCAAAGAGAATCTTTTTGAATTTGTGTCAAATATATATACGGTATGTACAGTATACATAAACTTTTTGGCAAGTGTCATGCATATTTCTCATGTCCATTTTCGACGGGATTTTTACTGTAAAAAAAAAACAAAAAAAAACAAGTCTACCCGTTTTTAAAGAATATAATTGCATACAAATAAATTCTTATAGATGGTTTAAATATCTTTTTCTTTTATTTCTAATATATGTACATGTATTTTATTTATGTCCTGTCTTTTATTCACATTCATCGACCTCTTACAGGACATGTACTGTAGAATTACAGTCAACCCGGCCCCAAGTAAACCCGGCCCCAAGTCAACCAGGCCCCAAAATTGGTCAATCCGGCCCCACAGTATTTTTATTTGGTCAATGCGGCCCCAAAATTAGTCAGTGCGGCCCCAAAATCGGTCATTCCGGCCCCAAAATATATATTTTCAAAGAAAACTATTCAGGTCATTTTGTTGTATGATAGAATAAAAATGATTTATTATAATTTGAATATTATTAACTATAGAACAATAGTAAAAAAACATGAACTGGCATAAAAGTGTCAGTAAATTTAATTGTGCCGATTAAGACTTTAACAGTTTAATTAATACGCAATAGTGATAATGAATAATTAGGCTATATAGCATCAACAATTATATGTACATCAACATTATTCCAGCTACTTGTGATAATCAAACAGTTTAAAAAGGTATAGCTGTGAAAACAAATTCTTTAAATAAGTTGGTAGTATCTTTCATGTCTTTATTCGATGTAAATTAAAGATGGTTTTATGAGTGTAAATGAGATAATTAGGAAGAAATGCATAGAATTTCGAGTTAAAAGGTTTGTATAAATTAAGTTTCCATCAATCTTTTTTCAGTTCATTTGAATGTTTTTATTTAATACGTTCATCAGTATAATTATAATTTGTTTCGTTTTTTATTAACTTATTTTCAAAGAATATTTACTGTTTGTAATAAGTGTTTGGAAAATTGATGTAGTAATAATAGTGTAGTAATGTAGTAATAGTAATGATTTGAACGATGAACACATTAAGGTTTCTTTTCCATGATATTTCAATAAAAAAGTTTAGTTTAGTTTTTTCTTAATACTTCTATCGTAGAGAGGTTAAGGTTGAAGACAGACGTCATCTTATTTTCGCGACGGTATAAATAGTAAACTATGCATGTGTTGCTTGTTTGTTAAAATTGATAGTTTTTATATAAAATAAATAATAAAAGATATCAGCGTTAAACTTTTGTTGTTGTTTTTATTTTATTTCTTGATAAGTGTTTATATTTTAAAGCAAAATAACTAATAAAAAATGGGGCCGGGTTGACTAGAAATAACATTGGTTTGGGGCCGGGTTGACCAATTTGGGGCCGGGCTGACTTGCGGCCGGGTTGATTTGCTTGGGGCCGGGTTGACTTGTACCGGTACTGTAGCGTCAGTCGTCATTGAGAAATCAGCACAAATGTCCTTTTTTTTACTAAGTATCATATTTATGGCTCCCATATAGTTTAACAGCAATAATACTTATAGAACCACAAGGAATGAACAAGTAAAGATGACAGTGATAAATGACGATTTCAGTTGTAAAATTATATTGGTATGTGGACGAATAGTTTTGTGGACGTTTATAACAAAAATATTAAAAACAACAACAAAAACAGGTACAGCTGTAATTATTTTTATTTCAAATTCCGTTCAAATAATTTAACGTATAATAACATTTAAGGAGACGATTGTGGTCAATTTTCAAGTCATTGTGTAAAAAAGATGACGTTAAAAAATGATAAAATGTCTATTATTTTTGGAGGTTAATTTATACTGACCAACTGACCATGGCATTCCCCCGCGGGAAACGGGTGACTGATTTTATCGATAAATGAAGAACGGTCGTCAGAATTTTGTCCGCGTTGGAAACAACTGAACACCGGGGATCGCTGGGAAATTAGGCTTCTCATCGCGGACGAACCCCCGCGTTTGTCGGCGATAAAAAAAAATCGTCCGCGGTGGTATCGCGGAAAAAGCAAAACCCGCGGTGAGAGTACTGTATGTCTGGTATTGTCATTCTTAAGTTTTGTGTAAAAAGGTCAGAAATTAATAATAGATTTATCAAAGAAATTTGATATTTCAGGAATTTGCTCTGTTTTATATTAGATAAGAAATAATTGTGAGCTATTATTTCTCTGCAGGTCTTTGGTTTAGGTTTGGATTGGCGTGGCGGGGACATGACCAATACTGGCGGGGGTCATAAGATCAATATATTGAAAGAAGAACTGTCCCAGTATAAAGACAGAAGTGACTTGATTCTTATGTTTACAGACAGGTAAATATGTATATATCTTTAATATAATTCAGTCATATGTTGAAAAGTTAAACTGATAAAATTGTACAGACAGTTTGTATGTTTAAAATATGTTGTATTTACATGAATACTTTTCTTGTTCTACTTGTAAAATTCTAAAACAATCTGATCATGAAGTTGTTGACATTATTTACTGATTTATAAGTTAAGGTTGATCAAGTCTCCTTGACTGTTCCAGTAATTCTGGGTAAAGTGGATATCTTTATGTGTCAGAAAGGTTGTGGATTCACAATTACTGAAGTTATCTGTTTGTTGATACTTTAATAATAATCATCTGGTAATAGCTGGTAATTGATTGGCATCATTGTTTCTTTGTTATTAAGGAATGATTGTCAGGTTGAAAATTGTTAAAAGTTTTTCAAAATATGGTTACCCGAAACACACCCCAGACACATAGGAACTTTGTTACCTGAAACATATAAAAACTTGGTAACCTAAAACAAATAGAAGCTTGGTTACCTGGAACACATAGGAACTTGGTTACCTGGAACACATAAGAACTTGGTTACCTGGAACACATAGGAACTTGGTTACCTGGAATACATACGAACTTGGTTACCTTAAACACATATGAACTTGGTTACCTAAAACAAATAGAAGCTTGGTTGCTTGGAAAACTGGTACCCAGAGCGAATAGGAACTTTGATGCCAGTAAGCACTATTAAATGTTGGGAATTGAGTACCGATCAAGCCAGTGCTAGGGAGCGTGAGGGATGTTGCATTTATTCATTATCTCTCATGTACAGACTCAATCAAACCAAGTCTGCAATTTTCCTGTAATTTTGTTCTGATTAATGCTTCCGAGGAATCACTTTGTTTACCTTAAACACATAGAAACCTGGAATGATGACATTTTCACAGACTTGATTTTCATGGCCATTTCAATGTTACAAATTTTACCTCTTCTAAAGTATAACTCCCAATATTTAATCGGTGAAGAAATTGATATAATTTGCTAAAAAATAGCAGAAGAAATAGATGGTTAAGGTAATTGGCTTGTAAACTAAGTACAAATTATTTTTTGGAAAAACTATAATAGGATACCAAAAAAATATATTAAATGCTTTTGAATATTATAAACAAAAAAAAAACATTTCTGATGCATAATGTGGCCTTTAAGGTAATTACATATATAATATAAATTTGATCATTTTGTTTGTTTAAGTTATGATGTTGTTGGTCACAGCTGGAGCATCAGAGATTCTAGAAAAGTTCAACAAGTTTGATGCACGTGTTAGTTTTCTCTGCTGAAGGATTTTGTTGGCCGGACAGGTCATTTAGCGGTAATAATTACTGTTTTATACCTTTAACCTGGTGACGAAATCTAACCATTGTGACCAGTGTAGACCATTGATGCTAGCTCATTGTTGATTCTATTTTTGATATGCCCGGAAGAATTTTGGGCATATTATGTTATACCCCCTGGCATCTGTCTGTCTGTTGGCATACAAGTATGTCAAATCGGAGTCAAATCAGCTTCAATAAATTTTCAAGAAGTCAAATCGGTCCTAAATCAGTCAATTTTGCCCCAAAATTAGTCAAATCGGCACTAGAATTACTTTTGTGAAACATCCTATTTCATGTTTATAATTTAATGTCAGAGAACAAAATTTCAAAAAAAGATTTGATCTGAATTTTAGTTCTTCTTTTTTTTCTAACTTAATACTTGACAAACTAAGGGAGATTATGAATTAGATTTTTTTTGCAATAAAAAGACAACTTTTGCCATTACAAAATGATATAATACTATGAACCATAAAGGGTTTTGGAAGAATATATCTGTATTTTCATGTTTGCTTATTGACCAGATATTTAATTTAGTTTTCAGAATATTTTTATTGTTGTCAAATAATTCATCTTATGACATATTTCTACTGTTGTATTAAGTGCCACCCAGCAAATGTTGTTTAAGTTTAAATAAAGAACATATGACAACAATCAGATATAAGTTTATTTATAGAGGAGAAAATAAATTATTGGTATATGACAGTGTCACAATCAGATATAAGTTTATTTATAGAGGAGAATAAATTATTGTTATATGAAAAGTGTCACAATATATGATTTATTATAGTAAATTTTGTATATGACAGTGTCACAATCAGATATAAGTTTATTTATAGAAGGAGAATAAATTATTGTATATGAAGTTGTCACAATCAGATATAAGTTTATTTAGTATAGGGAGAATAAATTATTGTAATAGAGGAGAGGATAAATTATTGTATTGACAGGTCACAATTGTATATAAGTTTATTAATAGAGGAGAATAAATTATTGTATATGACAGTGTCACAATCAGATATAAGTTTATTTATAGAGTTATAGAGGAGAATAAATTATTGTATATGACAGTGTCACAATCAGTATTATTTATAGTCAGAATAAAATTATGTATATGACAGTGTCACAAATCAGATATAAGTTTATTTATAGAGTTATAGAGGAGAATAAATTATTGTATATATGACAGTGTCACAATCAATATAAGTTTATTATAGAGTTTTATTTATAGAGGAGAATAAATTATTGTATATGACAGTGTCACAATCAGATATAAGTTTATTTATAGAGGAGAAATAGAATTATTGTATTGATGACAGTGTTCACAATCAGATATAAGTTTATTTATAGAGGAGAATAATTATTGTATATTGACAGTGTCACAATCAGATATAAGTTTATTTTAAGAGGAGAATAAATTATTGTATATGACAGTGTCACAATCAGATATAAGTTTATTTAATAGAGGAGAATAAATTATTGTATATGACAGGTCACAATCAAGAGAATAAAGAGGAAGAATAAATTATTGTATATGACAGTGTCACAATCTGATATAAGTTTATTAATAGAGGAGAATAAATTATTGTATATGACAGTGTCACCAATCAGATATAAGTTTATTATAGAGTTATAGAGGAGAATAAATATTGTTATATGAACAGTGTCACAATCTGATATAAGTTTATTTATAGAGGAGAATAAATTATTGTATATGACAGTGTCACAATCAGATATAAGTTTATTATTAAATTATGTCACAATCTGATATAAGTTTATTATAGAGGAGAATAAATTATTGTATATGACAGTGTCACAATCTGATATAAGTTTATTTATTTAGAGGAGAATAAATTATTGTATATGACAGTGTCACAATCAGATATAAGTTTATTAATAGAGGAGAATAAATTATTGTATATGACAGTGTCACAATCAGATATAAGTTTATTTATAGAGGAGAATAAATTATTGTATATGACAGTGTCACAATCTGATATAAGTTTATTTATAGAGGAGAATTAAATTATTGATATATGACAAGTGTCACAATCAGATATAAGTTTATTTATATAAATTATGTATATGACAGTGTCACAATCTGAGATATAAGTTTATTTATAGAGGAGAATAAATTATTGTATATGACAGTGTCACAATCTGATATAAGTTTATTAATAGAGGAGAATAAATTATTGTATATGACAGTGTCACAATCAGATATAAGTTTTATTTATAGAGGAGAATAAAATTATTGTATATGACAGTGTCACAATCAGATATAAGTTTATTTATAGAGGAGAATAAATTATTGTATATGACAGTGTCACAATCAGATATAAGTTTATTATAGAGGAGAATAAATTATTGTATATGACAGTGTCACAATCTGATATAAGTTTATTTATAGAGGAGAATAAATTATTGTATATGACAGTGTCACAATCAGTTTATTTATAGATAGAATAGATTATTGTATATGACAGTGTCACAATCAGATATAAGTTTATTATAGAGGAGAATAAATTATTGTATATGACAGTGTCACAATCGAGATATAAGTTTATTTATAGAGGAGAATAAATTATTGTATATGACAGTGTCACAATCTGATATAAGTTTATTTATAGAGGAGAATAAATTATTGTATATGACAGTGTCACAATCTGATATAAGTTTATTTATAGAGGAGAATAAATTATTGTATATGACAGTGTCACAATCAGATATAAGTTTATTTATAGAGGAGAATAAATTATTGTATATGACAGTGTCACAATCAGATATAAGTTTATTTTATAGAGGAGAATAAATTATTGTATATGACAGTGTCACAATCAGATATAAGTTTATTTATAGAGGAGAATAAATTATTGTATATGACAGTGTCACAATCAGATATAAGTTTATTTATAGAGGAGAATAAATTATTGTATATGACAGTGTCACAATCAGATATAAGTTTATTTATAGAGGAGAATAAATTATTGTATATGACAGTGTCACAATCAGATATAAGTTTATTTATAGAGGAGAATAAATTATTGTATATGACAGTGTCACAATCAGATATAAGTTTATTTATAGAGGAGAATAAATTATTGTATATGACAGTGTCACAATCAGATATAAGTTTATTTATAGAGGAGAATAAATTATTGTATATGAAAGTGTCACAATCTGATATAAGTTTATTTATAGAGGAGAATAAATTATTGTATATGACAGTGTCACAATCAGATATAAGTTTATTTATAGAGGAGAATAAATTATTGTATATGACAGTGTCACAATCTGATATAAGTTTATTTATAGAGGAGAATAAATTATTGTATATGACAGTGTCACAATCAGATATAAGTTTATTAATAGAGGAGAATAAATTATTGTATATGACAGTGTCACAATCTGATATAAGTTTATTTATAGAGGAGAATAAATTATTGTATATGACAGTGTCACAATCAGATATAAGTTTATTTATAGAGGAGAATAAATTATTGTATATGACAGTGTCACAATCTGATATAAGTTTATTTATAGAGGAGAATAGATTATTGTATATGACAGTGTCACAATCAGATATAAGTTTATTTATAGAGTTATAGAGGAGAATAAATTATTGTATATGACAGTGTCACAATCTGATATAAGTTTATTTATAGAGGAGAATAAATTATTGTATATGACAGTGTCACAATCAGATATAAGTTTATTTATAGAGGAGAATAGATTATTGTATATGACAGTGTCACAATCAGATATAAGTTTATTTATAGAGGAGAATAAATTATTGTATATGACAGTGTCACAATCAGATATAAGTTTATTTATAGAGTTATAGAGGAGAATAAATTATTGTATATGACAGTGTCACAATCTGATATAAGTTTATTAATAGAGGAGAATAAATTATTGTATATGACAGTGTCACAATCAGATATAAGTTTATTTATAGAGGAGAATAAATTATTGTATATGACAGTGTCACAATCAGATATAAGTTTATTTATAGAGGAGAATAAATTATTGTATATGACAGTGTCACAATCTGATATAAGTTTATTTATAGAGGAGAATAGATTATTGTATATGACAGTGTCACAATCTGATATAAGTTTATTAATAGAGGAGAATAAATTATTGTATATGACAGTGTCACAATCTGATATAAGTTTATTTATAGAGGAGAATAAATTATTGTATATGACAGTGTCACAATCAGATATAAGTTTATTTATAGAGGAGAATAGATTATTGTATATGACAGTGTCACAATCTGATATAAGTTTATTTATAGAGGAGAATAAATTATTGTATATGACAGTGTCACAATCAGATATAAGTTTATTTATAGAGGAGAATAAATTATTGTATATGACAGTGTCACAATCTGATATAAGTTTATTTATAGAGGAGAATAAATTATTGTATATGACAGTGTCACAATCTGATATAAGTTTATTATATAGAGGGAAATAAATTATTGTATATGACAGTGTCACAATCTGATATAAGTTTATTTATAGAGGAGAATAGATTATTGTATATGACAGTGTCACAATCTGATATAAGTTTATTTATAGAGGAGAATAAATTATTGTATATGACAGTGTCACAATCAGATATAAGTTTATTTATAGAGGAGAATAAATTATTGTATATGACAGTGTCACAATCTGATATAAGTTTATTTATAGAGGAGAATAAATTATTGTGACAGTGACACAATCTGATATAAGTTTATTTATAGAGGAGAATAAATTATTGTATATGACAGTGTCACAATCAGATATAAGTTTATTTATAGAGGAGAATAAATTATTGTATATGACAGTGTCACAATCTGATATAAGTTTATTTATAGAGGAGAATAAATTATTGTATATGACAGTGTCACAATCTGATATAAGTTTATTAATAGAGGAGAATAAAT